CCTGTTGAGCGCAAAGTACGCCGTAAGTGTGGTGAACGACTGGTGAGCTCGTTCAAGTTACTGGTGTACTTGCCCCTGTACAAAATGTATTGTCTGAAAATCAGGGAGGTGAACCGCTGAGCTGTAGATGGTGTGCGACTTTTCCTCCACTGTGGAGAAGAAGATCCTGTACATGCTCTGCAAACGAAGTGAGTATTCAAGTGCTGCCTGATCTCGTCAGCGTTCCCACGTTCACTGGCATTTCCGTCACTTTCGATACTCATGCGAGCACGGTCTGCTAATTTATAGATGTACTTGTAGAGATCTTTCAGCCGAGATAATGCAGCATATTTTGCAGATTTACGTCACACAGCCAAATTTGGGGGAAGATGTGATTTGAGGGGACTACCGATTCGTCGCCGTAGAACACACCATTTATCTGAGCAGGTGAAAGGTTGCGACGACGGTAGCTTGGGTATCCATCTATAACTGGCGTTCTTAGCCTTATCTGCTTTGGGAATCTTTTCGAGCAAGACCCATTCCGCATGCAAGGAGAGTCAATCTGGCCACACTGCCTGTGAATCATATAGAACGTAACAGCAGTGTGGAGATCCGGTTCTTCTACAGGGTTAGGAATTTCCGCACAGATAGATCTGTCTACATCGTCAACTGTCCGCACTCTCCAGTCCTCTTTCATTATAAGAAGCATATGGCAATATGGAAGACGTCGTTTTTGAAATCCCACTAGGTATACATGAGCTTGCACCTCTCCAAGTACGTGTCACTTGAAAAGGCAGTAAAGAGCTCCCGAAGCATTGCGTTGAGAACTCGCGCCACTAAGGCTGGGCGATCGGATGCTGTCTGACCGTTGAAGAGGACCTCTTGAATCTGTTTCCATTGTGGGTTACACGTCATGGTCAAAAAATAGGTAGGTATCCACAACGTGCAACTATTGACATTGCATCCTGGTAAGACTGCTGGATGGAGCGTGGGCTGCCGAGATGAGACGACGACAGAATAACTCGGTCGCCTGGTGGGCCGGACTTATCCTCACCGGCAAGGTAATCTTGCAGATCTCTATGTGAGTCAGCTAGCGACGTAAGCTGATTCTGAGTCTGAAAGCTAAGACGATTCTGCTTGATTTCAACATAAGCATCGACAGCAGAAGAGGCACCAAACGATAGTATATTTGTCCATGAATGCTGTAGCAGTACGGGCCGCGTTCCCGAAGCGAATCCACTTGTGCTGCCATTGAAGCTATGGCTAGCGCTGAATTAAATCCCTGATGTTCTCTAGCAAGGTTTTCAGTGCTCGACGCTGCTCCGCAGTTGAATCAGGACTTTGAAGAGTTCACGGAGGCTTTCACGGAAATGCCAAATTTAAGCGGATCCTGCCCAGATCACAGCACTCCAAGAATGTGCCTGGATGGTTGGACTTGACCTCGCAAGGAAAGTGTCAGGCTTCACATTGCACACATCTTCTATCTAAACCTCCTAGATAATCTTGGTCCTCCGTGAGCGTAAGGCTATCCCATTAAGTTCAACAGATTCTCTGCGCCGTTGACGGCTACGTGCAGCATTGGATTCCAATCTTGATAAATGTTGGAGATTGTTTTCATTACTGCATTGCTGTCGGCGACGGCGAGCATCTGATTGCAACCGGGCGATTCTTTCATCAGCGCCTTCCATACCGCGCCTCGAGCGTTGCCGCTGAGCATTTTGGAACTGCCGAGTTGCTCGTCTTCCGCGTTTTCCGATTCTCGCCTTCGACCCTGCCGCTGAGCGTTTTGTATAAGTCGAGCAGACTGTTCAGCAACGTTCTCTGATTCGCGTCTTCGACGCTGACGTTGAGCCTTTGCTGCGAGCTGAATATTGTGCTCTGCGAGCTCTCCATATCGCGTCTACGACGTCAGCGTTGAAGGTCTTCTCTTTGCCTGTTGGCTCGCTCCTCGAAGTATTCTGATTCTCACCTGCTGCGCTGATATTCGGCGTTTTCTTCTCGCCTAGCAGCACTCTCCTCAGCACTTTCTGAATCACGCCTCTGAGACGGCCGTTGAGCGTGTTCTGATCTACTCCTTCTTATTGTTTATCGCCTTGTGAAGCACGTCTCATAGTCTGGCGTTCAGCATTTGTGCGCAGCCTGTTACTCTTTTCTTGATCATCTTCGTTCAGATGCCTTTGCCGCTGGCAGAGAGAAATGGCATCTGAACGCGACGATCCTTCATCATCACTTCTATGCAAACGTCGGCTTCGCTGGCGTACACTGTCATCCTCGCGAATTCTCGACCGTCCTCTCTGCCTTACGTGTTCCCTTTCAAAGGTATTTTCACTATGTTGCAAGTGCAGTCAAATCGATAGAGTTTGAAGCTGCAATAGGAACTCTGAAATCATATATTAGTTGCATATTCGTTAGTGACATATACTTGCTAGACTTTCCGTTATACGTGGGGTTTTGAAGATGAAGGTACCACGAAACTGGATTCTAATATGCAACAACCCAGGATCCCTAACAGAGGTGGAGTACGGGATCGAGGAGCGACTCAAAACATCCAGTTGCCTTCCTTAGATTTTGTGTATTGGGACATTGGTCTAGAAATTTCGATATGTTGAAGAAGTCGAAGTAGAGCTGCGGCGAAAGGGCTGTCTTTAATCAGTAACTGTCGTAATTGACAGTGAGCGCCGTTCTAACTCGAAAGCTGTCACTAAAAAGGCATTAGAAATTAGAAACCAATACACTAAATTTGTCCATAAAATAAGCACAAAAGTAGCGTCCTTCACGACTATGGGACAATGTTTCATAGTTAAGCAATGTGCCCTGCTTTTGCACTACGACAAACACTGTATAAAGTATGCACAGTTTGCTCGTAACAGAGGAGCTCCCCTCATCTGCTATGTCCTTGATGTAGACTGCTCAATTTCTCCGAAATGCGAATGAGAACACTGACCTGATCTTGAGACCCGAAGAAACTCCCGAACGAGTTTCACAGTGAATGAGAACCACCATTGCTACCATCATAAAGGTTAATCGCAATTTGTGCGATAGATACCGTTACATTCCACACGATTCGGCACAGTTATTCCCCTCAATCATCTTTTTCACAATTACTGGATTTGGACTGATTGGTAATCAAGTAAACATTCCCCTATGCATTAATCATTTCTCACACTCAACATGGTTCAAAAATATCATCCGTGATAGGTTCAAATGATTCCTCAGGGTCCTGATGCAGAGTCCAACAGCAAGTCTTCATAGCATTCTGACGGTAACGCAATGCGTCCATTTTCTCAGCTTCTGCTATTTGCGCTGAATTTATCAGATTGGAGTCCGTCGGACATTTCGACCACTAAAGAGGGGATAGCTCGGCATGAGTTGTGCACGAAGACTGGTTGGTGATGAAATAGCCATTTCACCTTGATGATAACATCTAACATTCATCGCAAATTCGAACTGTTCAGGGGCTTCATGAGATTGAGGCGAAGACTAGATAGAAGTGAAATACGTCGAGCGATTATAATTAAAAAGTGCCACGGTAGAAAAGGAGGGGATTGTGTCATACTATGTTATCAATTCATGTTGAATTACAGCTAGGGAGCACATTAGATCTTTGAAAAACGTATTAGGAGATACTCCCTCACCGAAATCACTTTATTCCTTATCGATCCAATTCCCTCCGCTTCAATGCCAAGTCCGCTCAAAAAGGATTTCTCCATGACATCTCCTATATCAATTGCAAGTCATCAAGGAGGAGCACGTAAAGAGGTCGGTGTATTAGATTTCGAAGTGTACCGTGACCCTATTAGTTGCTATCAGTTTTGTTGTTTGTGCAAGTATCTATGCTATCACGAAACTAAATCTTTTTTAGTTACTTGTTATCAATTTCCCTTCAGCGACAGATGTCGGTTTTTATTACCGACTGTTGTTATTCTGGTTCTACAGCCTGTCCTACTACATATTTCGGCAAAGCTACGCCGTCGCAATGCAACTTTGCACTTCCGTTCTTTTTCTTGATTTATTGCTATTCATATCTCTCGATTGTTAATTTTTAGTTTTTCCCGTTTCAGGCGCGGTGTATCCCCCCCAATCCTCGCTCGTCATCATTTCATGAATATAATACAAACAGCTCACACACCAATGACGTTCTGGCGCAATACCCCATATCATAGCTCGGAGCTGACGCACCACTGTTGCTGCTACCCGCGCCATGGATTTGATGACTCTCCACTCCTGACGCCTCTTATCAAATCTTATCAGCTGATATCTCCCCCTGTCACCCACGAATTGTTCTTGTCACGGCCACTATACAATTCCTTGGAAGCAAAGTCTCACAATTACTGGGACCGGCGCTATGAATTTTGTGACACACACACAGAGACACACACAGACATACTTAGCGGATTATATATAGTACTTTTAGCGACTCTAGGCTGCAGAGCTTGTCCTGTGAATCTAAGAATTTTTCCGACCTTCATTCTAACACAGTTTCTTTGTTTGAATGGATCAAAATGCCTGTTCATTGAACGCAACTAAACAGGAGAGACACAACAAGTCATAAAAAATAGGTCGTACCGATCCTCAAAAAGGAGGAGTCATGCGACTCGACCAAAATGCTAACGCATGATTGCCCTGCTCAGAGCTCTCGTTCGCACCTACTAATTTCAGCAGATGTTCGGCGCATTTTGAGCAAAACTCAGGACCATCGAAGGCCTTCCACAGTCCAGGACGGGTCGAGCTATCACTACTACCGATGATTTCAAAACGGCAGCCAATGACTTCTTTGGGTCCTAACCTCCCGAAAACGTGACAAAAAGCAATAATGATATACCCAAAAGGTAGAAGAAGGTCATTCGTCACGTTGATCACGTATTGTTTGGTGCGTCCGTAAAAAATTGTAAAAACTTCAAAAGAGTTTCCATCGTCGACGAATGTTCTTGTCAAGCTAGTACTAATTTTAGCTCGCTCGATCCATTAGGAAAATGGCTTCCACCAAGAAACTGTTTCAATGAAGACTTTCGAGCGCCTACCTAACATTTCAAAGTGAATACTAGCGTACATCGCTCTATCATTAAAGTACCACTAACGTACCCGTATGTCTTCCTGGGATTGACAGGACTGCCATCAGCAATGCTACCCACGGCATATCTGTTGGCTCGAGCAGAGTCCGTACGTTTCTTGGGTGGATCACCGTGTTGATCCGATCCTCGGAGAATAATCTCTGTCTCATCTTCATGAGCTGGACGGCGCCGCTTCCGGTCTAGCAGCAGGAAGTAGACCATTTTTTCAGTGTTATGCCTTGAATCAGGAGTCTTTTCAGATTTACTCTCAAATTTCCTATGGAACATCAATCACTAACCGAATTGAAAGGAGTTCATCTATGAGTTTTTGCTTGTCCTTGAAACATCCCAGGCTATTCATGTGTCGAAAAACGTCTGGATCGATACTCTCTTCGCTTGGGATTATATGTGTCTGTTGAAAAACTTCGATAATCGATACGAACAGGAGTAGGTCAACTATAAATTGATGGAACGTCCCCAGTAGAAATGGTAGACAGCAGAGTAGTATGGGATGCTTTCGATCCGACGGGAACAAAAAAATCACGCTTAGCGATAATCGAAGAAGCTTGATGACCAAGCCACGTAGTGCGCTGAAAATTTCCAACGCGATGAAACACGTCGTATTTGGCCTCTACTGCTGACTCCGAGGCGGGGGTGGTGTAGTGAAAAGTAGCGCGCTTACCACTCACGCGGTCCTGTGTTTAAATCCCGTCGACTCCACGTCAACCAAGCCTTTTACCCTCCCGGGACGATAAAGTGATACTAGATTCATCTGGGAGGATAAGAACACTGACTTGTACATCGGTTGGACCAGCAAGTCATTGTATAGGCCACATCACATTCAGCGAGCCACTACGATTCTTAACCCATTCGTGATAATGTCCGCCACTGGTGGTGGACACCGAAATGTCCACTTCGGACCATGTCCACCATATATGGCGGATGGGCTTTTGATGAAATTTTTAGAAACGATTCGGGTTCTTCGAGAAACTCTCCCCAGTGGTACAAGTCTTCATACCTTTGATAATTTATGCAAATAGTGGACCAACGAGATCTTCAGATATAAGGGTGCCAGGCACGATTTAACTAGCAGCACCTGAGACCAAAACCTCCAGAAAAATTGCAGCTGAAAAACTGCCGGTAGGGGTTACTCAGTGCCCTGTTCACGAATGTGACGTCCGTTTCTGGCGCCAGCGCTGTTCGACTCCATTTGGCACCTAGGTGCCAATATGGATCCACCACTTTTTCATCAAAACTCGGATGCAAGAATGGTGCAGCGTCAACCCACCACTACCTTTTTTTTACCAAACTTCAGGAAAAGTTACATATTAGGGCTTTTTGTTGGTCTGGTCAAGAATATGAAGCTCACTACAGGTCTCAGCGCCAGGCGCCAATGGGCGCCAATTTGGTGCTATCACCTCTTCCATGCAAATTGATGGGAACTTGGTTACTAGGGTTATACGGTGTCCTTATTATTGATATGACATTCATTTTTGGCAGGAAGTTGGCGTAGGACGCAACGGGTTATCATTGCGATGCTGAGGCTGAGCTTCCTTAGAAGGAGGGAATGCTCCTCCTCCAAGCTACAGACTTTGCAGAGCGCTACATGGCTTTCATGCCCCCCGCCACCAATTGAGCTCGAATGCAAAACAGCAGCGACTTTAGCAGGCGACTGCAGGTGAATCCTACCGCCGAGTAGCGCCGGTGAAAGAAACCATAGGCCCTGTCAACCCTTCTGCCTGACATCCAAAACCAAGCCAACTTTCGACCAGCTTTCTTTCTACGTGGGCAGACTTGGCTTAGCAGTCGTTTCCCTAGATGGTTTGAACTTTTGAACACTTCCGCTCGGCTCAAGACCTCCTTGCCACCAAGAGGTTTTGAGCCACCTCAATATGTCAAATCACCTCTATGCAAGCTTACACGGGTTCTCGACACCGGAGGACAGACAAATGTCTTTTTTGTGACCTGAGGTATAAGCCCTGCACTTGATAAAAAGGGGGTTTCGGGAGCAGAAAGTTGGACGGTGCTAAAATTTTTAGTAAGGAGTCACGAGGGACCGTGTCCACCACTGGTGGCGGACAGAGAGCTCGCAAATGCTCCAGGCCGAACGAGCCTTGTTCGAAAAACGCGCCTGGTCGTGAATGAGTTAAAGAGTGGAATGCGTGCCGGATCCCACAAAGAGATTGATCAACAGCAAGGACCTCATCCTTTCATCCTTTACTGCTGATTCTAAACGCTTCAGGCTCGCCATAAAGTAATCAATGCTGCCATTGCTGCCATTGCATTACTATTCTTGACAGTCGATCGGATTTATTACGATTATTGCACTTATAACTTTTTATGGAGTTTAGGTTTTTCTAAGAGGATAAGTTTAGAAGAGCGAAGTGCGATGTTGAAGAGCAGTTATCACAACAAAACTTCAAAACAAGTAATGTCTCCATCTCGCCGTTCCGTTCTTGTTCCGATATCAAGCTATGGCACCAAAGCCATAGAGCTGACGGAAAAAGAGGCACTCCCGGTGGCGTGAAGGATAGCACTTGCGGAAGCGAGAGGTGCGAGGTCGATTCTCTCATGCAGAATCCGTTCAGCTTGTCTGTTGATGTGTGTATGTGTGTGTTTGACCGGAAATTCATAACTTCCTTCAAATCAGTCGTAGAGAGTTCAAATCAGGGAGGAACACTATTACTGGATGGCAGGAGGCGATAGCAGCTGACAAGGGCTGCCAGTGAGCCTCAAAAGGGGAGAGTCACCAAACTCATAACCTGCGTCACAGCAACCTTGAAACGTTGGTTCCAAGGAGTTACATAGGAGGCTCGACATAAACATCATTGGTGGGAGCCAAGAAACGATAACAGCCGATAAGGGCTGACAGGGGATCTTGAAAGGGGAGGATCACCAAGTTCCTAGCGAGATGTCGGTTCCAAGAAGTGATACAGGGGGCTCAACATTAACATCACTGGTGGGTGGAACGAAGTGATAATAGCTGACAAGGGATTATAGGGAGGCCTAAAAAGGGATAGTCACCGCGTCCAACGTTGAAACGTTAGTTTCAAGAAGTGTAAGGGGTTGGACATAAACATCATTGGTGGGTGGAACGAAAAGATTACAGCTGACAAGGGCTGACAAGGGGGAGGGTCATCAAATTCACAGCGAGGGCTACAGCAGCAGTGTGATGTTGGTTCCAAGAAGTAATATAGAGCGTTGGACATAAACTTCATTGGCGGGTGGCAGACAATGATAACAGCTGACAAGGGGCCTTAAAAAGGGTGGGGGGTCACCAAATTTATAGGGGCGACAGCAACGTTGAAGCGTTGGTTCCAAGAAGTTGGTTCTAAGAAGTGATATAAAGGCTGGACGTGAACATCATTGGAGGGTGGCAGGAAGTAATAACAGCACACAAGGGCCTCAAAAGGAGAGGCTCACCAAATTTATAGCGAGGGCTGCAGCAACGTTGAAGCATTGGTTTCAAGAAGCGATATGGGGGGCAGGACGTGAATATCGTTGGCGGGTAGAAGGAAATGAAAGCAGCTGACAAGGGGCCTTCGAAGGGGAGGATCATCAAATTCCTAGCGAGTTCTACAGCAACAGTGGAATGTTGGTTCTAAGAAGTGATATAGGAGCTGGACGTGAAAATCATTAGTGGGTGGCAGGAAGTGATAACAGCACACAAGGGCCTCAAAAGGGAAGGGTCACCAAATTCATAACGCGCCACAGCCATGGACTGAACCATGCCCGCAGGACAGTGCGTCAGCGAAACTGGTTGTATTATATTGGACTGGGCCAGAAGTAATCACGTTTTTTCTCATACACTTTTACACAAAGACTGAAAATCGTTTTTTTTTCTTTCAATCATTCGTTATATTTCTTCTCTGTTCGATAGATAATTTTTCGTTCTATGAGATAGATCAACCGTCTCCCTAATTCTGACTTCTGTCCATTTTTACTATATAGAAATGGAGTGTCGGGTCGACACAAAAAAAGAATTTTTTTAAACAACTTCCTGCATTTTATCTCGGCTATCGAATCACTGAAGAACTCAAAAACTCGTGATATATACGACCAAGGAAAGCTGCTTCTTACCGCTTGAGCTTGGTTCGAGCGATCACGTAATAGGAGTTCGAGCCTTGTGAATGTGCAGTGCACGGGGGCGCTCTTGGGGAGCGACCGCCTGCAGAATCTACCCACTAACTTTTGAATGTCTAACATAAATTGAGGGTGATGCTTGATAAGGAAGCATTCCATGACCTCTAGCGACCTCTTCCCCATCCTTGGTATCAATCTCCATGGATAAAATGATTCAGTAAGCTCTTGGCCGGACTCAATCGGGCATTAGGTTCGACGCTTTTCTGTGAGGTCGAAATTGAAATCCTTGACTAGGTCCAGCAATTCTAAGAATATTTAACAAGCACAGCCTCAGCCTCCTGTATAATTCGCAGCTATGCCAGTGCGGTTTCAGCTTTCTAGCTAGAAGTATAAGAGAAAAACTGCCGTAAATGCTCGATTTTGTTGACCTGACACTCTGTTTGAGCGCTTGGACATCAGTGAAAACAGGAACTTCAATAACTATGAGGCTGTCGTATAGGGTAAGGAGTATATTACACAAACATTAAATTACATCACCTTCATATCACATACATTCATACAACGTAGCAGCTAAGAGTCGCAAATGTAGTTGCGAAAATGCCGGAACGTAACCGGTAGTGGGAGGCAAAACCCTTGTGCAAGATTCGCGGTCAGGATGGAGGAGTTGCACAAGCAAAAGAAAAAGTTGATGACGACGAAGAGGAAGAAATTAGGGAGAAAATGTAGGCGAAGTATAAGGCGGGCAGTAAGAAGAAGCCTAGAGGAGACGAAAAAGGCTAAGAAAGAAAGACAAGAGGATAAGAGCAGAAAATTAGAAGCAAGTTCTCCCGATTATTACTACCAGAAGCTCAAAAAGAGGAACTCCGAACTCTAGCCTGTAGGTCCGTAGGCGTTATCCGGTGCACTGATCGCAAATACGACATGCTCTCTCAGCCGTCGTAACCACGGCTCGAATTTTATTGAAAGAACGTTTATACATGAATAATTACTTGGTTGGAAATGAACGAATGAAGAAAGCTGGAATGGGGGGGGGGCTCAGCTTCCATTTTGCATGCGCCAAATTTCCTTGACTTTTCAAGACATCTCAAACAATTCACCGAGACTTTTCGAACCTAAACTCTTCCCGAATCAAATTTATGACTTTTGAATCGAACTCAACTAGCATCTCGTTTTTCTTTTGATCTGCTTGACTGGCATGCTCACACAGTCAGTCAAGCAGATCACACAAGACACTACTGCAAGCCTCGCCCATATTTCAGCGCGACCATGAGTTTTTAG